AGCTTGCTTTTCCCAGTTTAGTTACACCATTCCTATTTCTTTTAAAAAAAGGAACAACAAAAACAAATAGAAAAAGACTAAGAAGAAAATCAATAACTGCTTCCCATGATGATGCAGTGTAACCTGGCCTTGTTAGTCTGTCATTTATGCCAAGCCTCTGAACCATTATCTGCAACAGTTTGACATGTTACAATCCTTAGCTATTCCACAGCCACAACTTCAGGTGACAAGGAGAATGTCAGCAGTCCAAGAGTCTTCAGAAAGGCCACAATGAATTACAAAATGTCTATATACAGGGAAGTGGGTTTCCCCATTATCCACAACCTCAGTTCTGTCACACTGCACCTCCTTACTGACCACAACTGGATGTTACTACCTCCCTTCCAGACAGCTACATTAAAAACAACAAGAAGAGCTTATTATGTCTGCCATCAATGCTTCCCTCCAGTCATGATTAAATATATTTCCACTTACTTCAGCTCCTACTGATAGTATTACCCTAAATGTTATGGGCCTTTGGAGTACCTAAGTACCAGTGTCTTAGTTAACAATTAGTTTACTAATTTCACTTAATCTCAATTGTTCCAGGCAATGTTAATTTAACAGACATTCATTTCTTCAGCAAAGATGGCACCCACATAAAGTCCCAGAATCAATCTAGATATTTTGCCTGAAAGAAAATGATGCTATTCCCCTTCAAGATGTACTTCAGAAGTTTACAAATCACACATACGTAGCTCCCTATACTCATGTACGTGCTGAAAAGGCAAATCTATGAGTAACTACTACTACAGTGGACCTAGCAATAGCGAACTTCCTTTCATATTTCCAGCCAACTCTTCCCTGCATAATCCCCAGAGATTTGCTATATAAGAAAATTGTTAGTCTTTGAAAAGAATTTTTGAGATAGAGCCCTGATTGAACAGTTTGCAGAATTTCTCTTCTCTCCATCCCATCCCCAAATTCTGTGGATATCCTGTAATGGTTCCAGAAGAACATCTGCTTCTCAGGATATGGCATTTAAGTATTTGCATGATTCTTCCCGACATTATATTATTTTGTCTGCTTATAATCAGAGGTCCTCATCTATGCAGGCAGGTTTTGCAAACTCCCCTCACCAAGTGTGTTTGCCACTACTGCCCGAAAAGTGGGTTGTGCTGGCTGGAGGAGGGGCATGAACAGGAGATGTATTAATTTAGTACATCCCTGAAGAAGCCTCCAAACAAGAGACAGCACACAATCTGACCTCTCTAGGGCTGAATCCTGGAACTGATTTTGCTCCCCACTGCTATTTACAAGGGTCTTGGGGGCAGGCTTGAGAGCAACACTCCTAAACAGGCTCAGGGCTAACCCCTTCTCAGTGCACACGCCTACCTCTTGGTTGGTCTATTTCAACTTCACTTTCAGCTTTGCTGTTGTGACCTCTGTTAAAAACCCTCTTGCAGTGCCAGGGAAAGGTCCACCATAAACAAAACTGTCAAATTGACTATACATGAAGTAAAGTCAAATGAAATAAGTATAAACACCAAAAAATAGAGAAGCTGTTTTTACTTTAAGCTCTTTTGGGTATAGTAAATAATAGAGGTTACTTATAAAATCGGATGGAAGTGTAATTTTCAAATAGAAACTGCCCCCTTAAAAAAAGGAACATGTTATTTAACCTCCACTATTCCCCTTTAATGGAGAGCAGAGGCTTCTCTGTACAAAAAAACATTGCAGTGTTCTTACACTACAACCCTTTGAAATTTGCTGCTCCCCATCATCTGCACGTACTTGCTGCCTTCTAGAAGGCACTCAGCTTGTCAATGCTAGTCCACTAGCAGTTAGCTGTGTCTTCTCCTGATTTCTTATTGCGGACACCTCTCTGGACTCTGTTCAGGCTCTCCTGCTATTCCACTTCTGTTCATAGCTGTCCACTTGCCAGGAAAGCAAGACTCTGTAACTGTTTACAACTATCCCACCTTGATAAATATACCTAGATAATGAACACCTAACCTTGACACAGCATATAGTATGAAATGTGTATTTCAGCCTTTTCTACATAATGTTCTGCTACTTTGTTACAATAATGTGACATGACATAACATGATGTTTTGTATTACTACTCAATACAAAGGGCTTCTATGCATTGCACAATCCGTCAGGATCAGGTCTGTATAGAAATCAGCCCGAGCATAATATGATGGAAGGAAACAGATAGTCTACTTGACTTCCTGATACTCTAATTCCTCTTAAGATATTGCTCTGGGGAATGCCTAACTTCCACGAAATGATGTACCTTGTCTTTCTTTTCAGACTTCAGGAGGATTCTTGGGATATAGGCTCCTAGTTTAATTTAAAAATCTGAACGGAAAACTGAAACTTCCTTAGGCAAAAAAGAACAAGTCTGGTCTAAGAAATAAGACTTTTTTAGCTATTCTTGGAAAGGGTGGATTTATAATTAACACTTCTAGTTTTCTGATTTCCCTGGGGGCTGATATGGATAGAATAAACGTCTGTTCCTAAAAACAGGAATTCCATTTATATGAACCTAATAAGTTAGAAAATGCCAGCGTTAAGGTTGCCTATGCAACAATAATTCAGTCCCCTTGCATGCATGCATTGCAGTACAGTGTCTTACCCAACATCACAGAGGATGTCTAAGGCAGAGCAAAGAATTTAACCTAGTTGTTCCTGAGTCCCTGTCCAGTGCTGCAAACACAAAAGGAAGTTCTTTCTCTTTTTCTAATTCTCTGCCTCAGGTCACTGACCTCCAAGGGCACTGAATGAAAAAAAACGTATATGATACTGTAGCTAACAACTGTATGTAGTAATATTGAAAGGACATGAGAACCTATGATCTAGTCCATGGGAATAATGCACTTGGAGGGGAGGAAGTCATTGTGTTTCTGCCCCATCTAGCACTCTAACTCTGCACCATGCAGAAAGCTGAGTGAGACCTGGGAGCATACCCAGTGCAGTGGGCATACTAGGGCTGGACCAAAAAGCTCCACTGACTACATGCAAATGGTGATATGAAGAGGCTTTTAATTTAGCAAAATCTCAATGGATTTTCATTAGGGCAGCAAAAGGTACCTCCCTGACAAATTTCAAGTTCCAGCTATAGGAGATGGCGATATTACAACACTTCAATAAAGCAGATGAAATTTTTTAAACAAATAAAACATACACATTTTCCCCTAACCTTGTTTTCAGAAATGGCTAAGCTATTTTTGCTGAAACTTTGCAAAATAAATTCATTCTGAGACAGACAGCTAACATGTAAAATTTCAAACCAAATGGCTAGCACTTGGCAAAGCTATAAACAACTGAAAATAGAGGCTTATACTGGAAAATGTTAGGCAATCTTAATTGTAGCTGTTGCTGCTCTTTCACCTATAATATATGAATAAGTATAATGGGATTATGACAAAATATTGTATATAACTCAGTTATGTCAAATCTGTGGCCTTTGAGGGCAACTGTGTTAAAAAGAAATATATAATTATAATTTGAAAATTTGTCCTCTCTGATTTTTAAATTGAAGGGTCTGAATCAGCCCCATCATTGTGGGAAGAGGTATAGTCATTCTCTGATCAACTGACTCCAACTGCTTCCCGTGAAGCCCTAGGTGCTGCTCACATGTGAGCTGAGAGTGCTCTTAACAGTTGTCACTTCCTTGCTGCATGTCCGTTGGCTCCTTGCTGTATCGCAGGAAAGGGATAAGAGAGAGTACTTCTGGTGCCAGTTTTCCTGTTAGACAGTAGGAACCTCAGGGAAAACAGGATAGGAGCTAACTGGCTCTGCCTAAGCCTGAGAAGTATCTATCCAAGGATGACTCTCCTCCCCAGAACAAGGCAGTAAAGGAGAAAGGGTGCAAAGGGAGAAGAATAGGACAGAAAATATGGCCCAAAGCATTGATTGTAACCTTTTGACCTTTCAGAAATATGTTTTGCCCAGAGGCTCAAAAATTTGGACACTGCTGATATAGCTGTTTGTATTGTCATAATTTTTAAAAGAAATGTTTACATTATTTTCCCAGGAGACTAAGCAGTTCTTTTTCAATCATTTGCATTCCTCTAGTAAAAATGTGAAATACTCAAATGTCTTCTCTCTTTGAGATGTGGGTGCAGACGTATATTCCACGACCCACCCTCCACCTGTCTGTATCATAGTCTCTACTCTTGACATTCAGTGCAAAGGACCTGAAGGTGTGGGGTGGTGGGTGGGATGTCGCTGCAGCCACTTTAAATAGCCACAGGAGGAGTTAAGGGCCATAGGGCATGAACAGCATCCCTATAGATACTGCTAAGCAAAAGTTTTCCAGTTTCAGTGAGCACTGGGCATGCACACATCTGAGTGGAATGCACGTCTGCAGCCACGTGAAGAAGTATGGCTCTTTTTTCAAAACACAAATTAAATATCTGAAACCGTAGCCATCACACCTATAAATGTTCAATAGCCAGTAAAATTACTGTTTGTTGGCATTTCTAGTTATTTCTAGTTTATTTTGTTTCAAATATATTTATTCTTTTAGGGATTAGTGGGTTAGATCCAATCTCATTTAATATCTTCATTAATGATCTAGAAGGGCAAGTAAAACAGCCTACTAATGAGATTCACATGTTCCAAGTTAAGAGAAGATACAAATACCTCTGTGGACAGAACGGTAATAGAAAACGGACATAGAGAAATGAGAGACATGAGCAAACACTAAAATGAGATCCTACTTGCAAAAATGCGAGGTACAATATCAGACAAAAAAATAAAACAGCACACATATATTCAACTGGAAAACCTGGGGAACCAGTAAAGGTGAAAGTGGCCTTCAACTCGTCTCCAGAGTTATGTCATAAAGGTCACTATTGTGTTTTCTACACAGAGTAAGAACATAATCTAGTATGCAGATCACAGAAGAGCTGGACTCCATTCCCAGCTTTGCCATCTGACCTGCTGTGTGATCTTGGACAAGACATTTAACTTCTCTTTCTGTATCTGTAAAATGGTGAAATGATACCTACGTTTTTCATGAGATTTTTGTGAAGATTAGTTAAGGCTTGCAAAGCACTTTTAGCTATCTTCTTTCCATCTCCACCTCCAGTCATAGAATCAGGCCCTAGTATCATAGAATATCAGAGTTGGAAGGGAACACAGAAGGTCATCTAGTCCAACCCCCTCCTCAAAGCAGGACCCAATTTTTGCCCCAGATCCCTAAATGGCCCCCTCAAGGATTGAACTCACAACCCTAGGTTTAGCAGGGCAATGTTCAAACCACTGAGCTAAACAAAGCTCTTCTACAGTTAGATTTTATGGTCTTCAGGGCAGCAGCTACCTTTTTGTTATCTGTTTGTATAGTTCCTTGCACAAACAGGGCCCTGATCCTTGATTGGAGCCCTTAAATGCTATTGCAGTACAAATAAATAACAACAACCACTACCACCTGCGACCAGAAATATTTAAGAAGTTTTAGTGAAGTATATTCTTTTCCAGAGCTCCAAAGCATAGAGCACTCGTGAGTGTTGCACCATCCCTTCAGATGAACAGCATGTAGTCAATGCAATGGGTGTGGGGAAGGGATCATAGCCCTGGTTCCTCAATGCCCCCTTTTGGAGTTTTGCTCCTGCAAGGGGAGAGAAGTACACACTCTAGGTGGGAGCATTCCCCGTACTCAGAGAAACACAGAGATTGCAAATATGGCTGGCCATTGAACAATGCAGTGGAGGGACAGCAACACTCCTTTACGCCCTTCCCAGCTCTCTAGTGTACCTGCACGTGGGGTATCCACAACCTAACCCTAGAAAAACAGAGTACAGTATTATACAGTATGTTTTGAGAAATAGTATATGACCATGTAATTAAAACCAGTCACAACAGATACTCATGGGGGGAGAGGGACATCTCCTGAATTTTGAGAGTTTACCAATGCAATGGTAACATCCTTTTCATGCAGATTTCATGTGGAATAAATACTTTATTTCAGTGATTCCCAAACTTTTGTACTGGTGACCCCTTTCAAATAGAAAGCCTCTGCTTGCGACCCCCTTTATAAATTAAAAACACTTAGGTTAACCATTATAGTTAACACCATTATAAATGCTGGATGCAAAGCAGGGTTTGGGGTGGAGGCTGACAGCTCGCGACCCCCCCATGTAATAACCTCATGACCCCCAGAGGGGTCCTGACCCCCAGTTTGAGAACCCCTGCTTTATTTCATTCATAGTAGATAAACAGGAGTGATGATATGGGGATAAGCTTCAGCTAAGACTCAAAATATTTCATAGATGCATAGATATTAAGGTCAGAAGGGACCATTATGATCATCTAGTCTGATAATCACAATGCAGGCCGCAGAATCTCACCCACCCACTCCTGCGATAAACCTCTCACCTATGTCTGAGCTACTGAAGTCCTCAAATCGTGGTTTAAAGACTTCAAGGAGCAGAGAATCCTCCAGCAAGTGACCCGTGCCCCATGCTACAGAGAAAGGTGAAAAACCTCCAGGGCCTCTTCCAATCTGCCCAGGAGGAAAATTCCTTCCCGACCCCAAATATGGTGATCAGCTAAACCCTGAGCATATGGGCAAGATTCACCAGCCAGAAAAGAAAGATTCACATACCTAGGAAAGAATTCTCCGTAGTAACTCAGATCACACCCCATCTAACATCCCATCACAGGCCATTGGGCCTATTTACCATGAATAGTTAAAGATCAATTAATTGCCAAAATCATGTTATCCCATCATACCATCTCCTCTATAAACTTATTGAGTTTAATCTTAAAGCCAGATAGGTCTTTTGCCTCCACAGAATAACACAGGTTGTTATTCTTGCAAAAGATTTGTAACAGATTCTTCTTTTCAACCATGAGGTACCATGCTTTACACATTAGTGCACTGAAAGAATTCCTACCAAGTGGCAAGTGAAGAAATCTCATGCTCCCAGGCACCAACCTTGGAGATCCCTGGATGATAGGCAACTCTCCACAAGTGGATGTGTGAAGAGGAAGTGAAGCCTGGAGATTAGAGTTTGGAGTGCTTCCAGTAAGCTCTGAGTGTAGGGTGAGACAAATGAAAGAAAACATCACAGGGGATAATGGTGAAATAATTAAGGTTTCATTAGAATCTCCTGCTCCAAATTTTTCAGTTCAATCAAGATGGTGTTAATGAAATACAGTTAATTAATGGAAAGTTAAAACAGAGATAGTATTCACAGATATATCATGATCAGTCATTAATCAATGTATCTAGTGAATCTAATAATTTACTATGATGCATGGAATATTTTATAGTTTCACATACATTAACTGATATTTGCAAAATTAATATCTTCCAATATTTTAGCATATCCCACTGTCCACTATTACACTACTCACACAGGATTGCCTCCACAAAGTCCTGCCACTTACTCCACTGACTCATTAAGATACTTAACATATATCTAACTTTAAGCATGTTAGTCCACTAGCTTATGTACTTTGTTGAATCAAGACCTAAACTCTAAATCAATGGGAATCTTTCCAATGGTCTCTGGATCAGGCCCTTAATCCTCGAGTAGAGGACTGCTTTGCTTGAGTCATCTTCACCCAGGAAGTGGAAGAGGTCAATGTGTCATGGGAAAAGAGGAGAATAAGGGACAAAGATTACCGCAAAGATAGAGAGAAAGTAAGAGGAAGTGTAATTGCTAATTTTCTGACTTTTTGTGAGTTTTCTGGGTTACTGGAATCTTAATTCAAAGTCAGGCTTGTAGCGTTAATTTTAACAGGTTTAATGATACATTCATGCACAAAGGAAGAGAGCTACATTGGTAAAATATATGAACAGCTAAATTCTCTCTGGTATAATTCCATTGACTACAATGGAATTACACCATCAGAGAATATGGTTCATAATATACAAAATACATATTTCATCACGTACAATTAGGCATAGATAATGATTTTCTTTGCCACCTAAAACCCGGGAATCATATTTGTATTTTGGCAGTTTGATAACAGTATAAATGGAACAGATCATAAGAACTGCCATAGTACGCAAATCATAGTAAAAAGTTATAAAATATTATTATAAAACATTGTCATTAGGAGACTACACTGAAATGATTTACATGCAATCTCATATAATCTGTGATAGATTTATAGACATTTCAACTATAATTTTCAGAAAAACCAAACAAGGTGACTTAGTTTCCTTTAACATACAGTACATTGAGGGGGAGAAGTGAGCTTCTATTTTGAAAAGCCCAGATTCTTACCTGATGATATGCTTGATAGATTATATCAAACAGGAAAGCCTGAGGCATTTCACTTGCTCTGTACCTGGAACGTTCTAGTGAATGGTCTAAGGAACCATCTGCAGAGGAAGCAACAACAGTAGAGACGAGAGGACGGATTGCTCCTGCTGCCTAGGGAACAAAAAAAAAATCTTAAATATATACTTGGATGTTTATCTTAGCTAATTTCTTCACAGAGAACAAGCCAAAACAAATTTAATATATTAACCTCTATACACTATAGGGCCCAGTGCAGCCAGGTGTTAAGCTCTTCTTGAGACATACTGAGCATCCCCCATTCCCAGTGACTTCAGAGCAGAGCTGGTGCAGTTTTGCTCTGCAGAAGTGGAATAACCTATTATTGAAACAATAGTGATATTTGCATTCATCTCCTTGAGCTTCCATTACCAAAATCTGCTCTTGGTTATGCAAGTCTCTCTTTGACTTCAGCTGGAACCTCACCTGGCCATCTAATAGGAAAGTACAACACAAAGCAGGTTTTGAAAGATTTTTGTTTATTTTAGAAGAAATCAATTAATATTGCTGCTTTACCCTTCCTCCTCTAAACCACCTAATAATGAAGCAGGGAGGAGACAGCAAGTACTATAAGTATATATTTAGATAAAATTCAATAAGTTGAGCCTTTTATAAGTTATTATTAAGAAATTTACCTAGTACACAATTTTATGTGCACGGAAGGAAGACACATAATTGAGGTGAACCCCCGGTGCTTGAAGCCTGGTCCCTGTGCATAAGATTACAAGGCGCAGCTCAAGGGGAGGGGACCGGAGGATCCAAATGACCGAAAAAGGATCTGAACAATTTTCTTGTGTGAAGAGCTTCTCTTCTTCATGTTTCAGAGTAACAGCCGTGTTAGTCTGTATTCGCAAAAAGAAAAGGAGTACTTGTGGCACCTCAGAGACTAACCAATTTATTTGAGCATAAGCTTTCGTGAGCTGAAGCTCACTTCATCAGATGCATACTGTGGAAACTGCAGAAGACATTATATACACAGAGACCATGAAACAATACCTCCTCCCACCCCACTCTCCTGCTGGTAATAGCTTATCTAAAGTGATCGCTCTCCTTACAATGTGTATGATAATCAAGTTGGGCCATTTCCAGCACAAATCCAGGTTTTTTCACCCCCCCCCCTTTTTCCAAAAACCACACACACAAACTCACTCTCCTGCTGGTAATAGCTTATCCAAAGTGACCACTCTCCTTACAATGTGTATGAAAATCAAGGTGGGCAGTTGCTCGCTGGAGTCTGGATTTGAAGTTTTTTTGTTTTAAGATAGTGACCTTCATGTCTGTAATTGTGTGACCAGAGAGACTGAAGTGTTCTCTGACTGGTTTATGAATGTTATAATTCTTGACATCTGATTTGTGTCCATTTATTCTTTTACGTAGAGACTTTCCAGTTTGACCAATGTACATGGCAGAGGGGCATTGCTGGCACATGATGGCATATATCACATTGGTGGACGTGCAGGTGAACGAGCCTCTGATAGTGTGGCTGACATACACATTGTAAAGAGAGTGGTCACTTTGGATGGGCTATTACCAGCAGGAGAGTGAGTTTGGGGGGGGGGGGGGCGGAGGGTGAGAAAACCTGGATTTGTGCTGGAAATGGCCCCACTTGATTATCATACACATTGTAGGGAGAGTGATCACTTTAGATAAGCTATTACCAGCAGGAGAATGGGGTGGGAGGAGGTATTGTTTCATGGTCTCTGTGTATATAATGTCTTCTGCAGTTTCCACAGTATGCATCCGATGAAGTGAGCTGTAGCTCACGAAAGCTTATGCTCAAATAAATTGGTTAGTCTCTGAGGTGCCACAAGTACTCCTTTTCTCTTCTTCATGAGAATGGGGAAGACAGGGCCCACAAAATTCTGCCTGGAGTAAAAGAAAGCCTTTTTCTCATATCCCAGGGCAAAATATCATCGAATATCAGGGTTGGAAGGGACCTCAGGAGGTCATCTAGTCCAACCCCCTGCTCAAAGCAGGACTGATCCCCAATTAAATCATCCCAGCCAGGGCTTTGTCAAGCCTGACCTTAAAAACTTCTAAGGAAGGAGATTCCACCACCTCCCTAGGTAACTCATTCCAGTGTTTCACCACCCTCCTAGTGAAAAAGTTTTTCCTAATATCCAACCTAAACCTCCCCCACTGCAACTTGAGACCATTACTCCTTGTTCTGTCATCTGCTACCACTGAGAACAGTCTAGATCCATCCTCTTCGGAACCCCCTTTCAGGTAGTTGAAAGCTGCTATCAAATCCCCCCTCATTCTTCTCTTCCGGCAGTTTAAACAATCCCAGTTCCCTCAGCCTCTCCTCATAAGTCATGTGTTCCAGTCTCCTAATCATTTTTGTTGCCCTTCGCTGGACTCTTTCCAATTTTTCCACATCCTTCTTGTAGTGTGGGGCCCAAAACTGGACATAGTACTCCAGATGAGGCCTCACCAGTGTTGAATAGATTGGAACGCTCACATCCCTCGATCTGCTGGCAATGCCCCTACTTATACAGCCCAAAATGCCATTGGTCTTCTTGCCAACAAGGGCACACTGTTGACTCATATCCAGCTTCTCGTCCACTGTAACCCCTAGGTCATTTTCTGCAGAACTGCTGCCGAGCCATTCGGTCCCTAGTCTGTAGCGGTGCATTGGATTCTTCCATCCCAAGTGCAGGACTCTGTGTTTGTCCTTGTTGAACCTCATCAGATTTCTTTTGGCCCAATCCTCCAATTTGTCTAGGTCCCTCTGTATCCTATCCCTACCCTCCAGCGTATCTACCACTCCTCCCAGTTTAGTGTCATCTGCAAACTTGCTGAGGGTGCAATCCACACCATCCTCCAGATCATTTATGAAGATATTGAACAAAACTGGCCCCAGGACCGACCCTTGGGGGACTCCACTTGATACCGGCTGCCAAATAGGCATGGAGCCATTGATCACTACTTTTTCAGCCCAACACAACTAGCCAGCTTTCTATCCACCTTATAGTCCATTCATCCAGCCCATACTTCTTTAACTTGCTGGCAAGAATACTGTGGGAGACGGTGTCAGAAGCTTTGCTAAAGTCAAGGAACAACACGTCCACTGCTTTCCCCTCATCCACAGAGCCAGTTATCTCGTCATAGAAGGCAATTAGATTAGTCAGGCATGACTTGCCCTTGGTGAATCCATGCTGACTGTTCCTGATCACTTTCCTCTCCTCTGAGTCCTTCAGAATTATTCCTTGAGGACATGCTCCATGATTTTTCCAGGGACTGAGGTGAGGTTGACTGGCCTGTAGTTCCCAGGATCCTCCTTCTTCCCTTTTTTAAAGATGGGCACTACATTAGCCTTTTTCCAGCCGTCCGGGACTTCCCCCAATCACCATGAGTTTTCAAAGATAATGGCTAATGGCTCTGCAATCACATCCGCCAACTCCTTTAGCACTCTCGGATGCAACACATCCAGCCCCATGGACTTGTGCATGTCCAGCTTTTCTTAATAGTCCCGAACCACTTCTTTGTCCACAGAGGGCTGGTCACCTCCTCCCCATGCTGTGTTGCCTGGTGCAGTAGTCTGGGAGCTGACCTTGTTTGTGAAGACAGAGGCAAAAGCATTGAGTACATTAGCTTTTTCCACATCCTCTGTCACTAGGTTGCCTCCCTCATTCAGTAAGGGGCCCACACTTTCCTTGACTTTCTTCTTGTTGCTAACATACCTGAAGAAACCCTTCTTGTTACTCTTAACATCTCTTGCTAGCTGCAACTTCAGGTGTGATTTGGCCTTCCTGATTTCACTCCTGCATGCCTAAGCAATATTTTTATACTCATCCCTGGTCATTTGTCCTATCTTCCGCTTCTTGTAAGCTTCTTTTTTGTATTTAAGATCAGCAAGGATTTCACCGTTAAGGCAAGCTGGTCGCCTGCCATAGTTACTATTCTTTCTACACATCGGGATGGTTTGTCCGTGTAACCTCAATTAGGATTCTTTAAAATACAGCCAGCTCTCCTGGACTCCTTTCCCCCTCATGTTATTCTCCCAGGGGATCTTGCCCATCAGTTCCCTGAGGGAGTCAAAGTCTGCTTTTCTGAAGTCCAGGGTCCATATTCTGCTGCTTTCCTTTCTTCCTTGTGTCAGGATCCTGAACTCGACCATCTCATGGTCACTGCCTCCCAGGTTCCCATCCACTTTTGCTTCCCCTACTAATTCTTCCCGGTTTGTGAGCAGCAGGTCAAGAAGAGCTCTGCCCCTAGTTGGTTCCTCCAGCACTTGCACCAGGAAATTGTCCCCTACATTTTCCAAAAACTTCCTGGATTGTCTGTGCACCACTGTATTGCTCTCCCAGCAGATATCAGGGTGACTGAAGCCTCCCATGAGAACCAGGGCGTGCGATCTAGTAACTTCTGCGACTTGCCAGAAGAAAGCCTCTTTCACCTCATCCCCCTGGTCCGATGGCCTATAGTAGACTCCCACCACGACATCATCCTTGTTGCTCAGACTTCTAAACTTAATCCAGAGACTCAGGTTTTTCTGCAGTTTCATACTTGAGCTCTGAGCAGTCATACTGCTCTCTTACATACAGTGCAACTCCTCCACCTTTCCTGCCCTGCCTGTCCTTCCTGAACAGCTTATATCCATCCATGACAGTACTCCAGTCATGTGAGTTATCCCACCAAGTCTCTGTTATTCTAATCACATCATAATTCCTTGACTTTGCCAGGACTTCCAGTTCTCCCTGCTTGTTTCCCAGGCTTCGTGCATTTGTGTATAGGCACTTGAGATAACCCACTGATCGCCCCTCTTTCTCAGTATGAGGCAGGAACCCTCCCCTCTCACATGCTCCTGCTCGTGCTTCCTCCCGGGATACCACTTCCCCACTTACCTCAGGGCTTTGGTCTCCTTCCTTCGGTGAACCTAGTTTAAAACCCTCCTCACTAGATTAGCCAGCCTGCTTGCGAAGATGCTCTTCCCTCTCTTCGTTAGGTGGAGCCCGTCTCTGCCTAGCACTCCTCCTTGTTGGAACACCCATCCCATGGTCAAAGAATCCAAAGCCTTCTCTCAGACACCACCTGCGTAGCCATTCATTGACTTCCACGATTCGACGATCTCTACCCAGGCCTTTTCCTTCCAC